ATCTTCTCCCCCCTCCCCTGTAATCCTTTTCTCACCTCCCCTGTAGCGTGGCTGAGCTCCTATCCGGTCCGTGACCCGGCGGGACTGACAGGAAGTGCACACTGAGTGCAGTCAGGCCGGGTCGCGGACCAGGAAGGAGCTCGGCCACGCTACAGGGAAGGGGAGGTGAGGCGGTGCAGCAGCCGTCTGAGCGCTCTTAATCTGGTACATACATAAATAGTTGCCCAATATATTGCAGCATATATATCAATTAAGAACACCTGATAATATATATCATAGGGTTTGAAAGTACACTGTAGTTGAACCAACTTCTTGAATTTAAAATATTAAGGTGCTATACTGTTAAAAAAATTAATGATGTAATAAAGTGAATAATGTCAAAAACTTTTTAACTGTATATATCAATGTGAAAAAGTGTACTAATATTGAAATAACAGTGACTTGTAGAATTGCTAATAAATACAATGAGCAATATCGGAAGATGGCATTGACTTGCCAATGTGTTCTAAAATTAAGAGTATCAATGTATTCAATATATTTTAAAGTGACCTGTGCTAAAAAAAAAAAAAATTACATAAGTGCAAAACTAAGCATTAAGCTAAATAAATGATATGTATAATACCCATAAAATATGGATATAATGTATATAGTGGCAATTGCAATGTAAGTGCATAACAGTGATATATTGACCAAAATTAATAGACTTAATAGTTCAATCAAACCATATATACAAAATGACAAAACTTAAACTAAGTACCTTCATAAAATACTTCAGGTGTAAAACTATACTAGTACATAATTATGTCCAGATTTTATATTTCCCCCAAAAAATCACATATAAAAACTGTATCGGATCATAGCCAAAAACAGTGTAAATTTTGTCACAAGCTGGAAATCTTAACTTCATAGAAAAGAATTAAAAAACAAATTTTCATTAAGTCCTCCTGGGGCTACTGTTCTTAATTCATGAATCCAGAATGCTTCCCTATTAAGCAAAATTCG